TTCTTTGGATCTTTGGACACCATATTTACTTGCCTTTCAAGACTACAAACCAAAATAGTGCAATGTGGTATAAAACATAGGCAACCATTGCTAGCGCAGGAGCTAATAAAGCAAACATGACTTGAGAAGTAAGTCATACATTTAGCAAGTATCTTTTTTACTGATTCAGGAGAAAATAATTCCGATTTTCTTTCCATGTTTGAAATGCATAGTTACTGTATAAATCTCATCTTGCTGGTTTTGATAAAACTAAGACTTGAGAAACCATAACAGGGTACACCTTCAATTATTCAAATGAAAATGCAAACTGGCTAAAATCTTTCATTTTTATTTGATCTGATAGGTGTGGTTTGGTGTTCAGAAATGTGAAAATGAAAACTGTATGTGCTGCATATGCAGCTCAGACACAGATTTCAAAAAACAAATGACGGACTTGGAATACTTATTCCCACAAAGAAGGAAGCAGGCAGGGGACACAAGCCTCCAACAGTTTTTCCAACTTAACGCAGAGTGCTTGAACACCACCAGGCCTAAAACCAAGGACAACAGGATCACCTGCCCTATTAAACTCACCTCTGGCCAAAAAAATGTCTATGTCATCAAAAAACATTGGCGCACTGTAGCCATTTACTCTGCCCTCAAAGGACACTTGGACAACCTGCCTTAGCTTGTTTTTAGACCTCCTAACCTCAGAAAAATGTCTACCTAGTCCCCCACCAACCTGTAGATTGAGTACTGTGGAACCAGGCAAATACAAATGTAGTAACTTGTCTCATTTGCTGCCCACAACTATATTCAATCATCCACGCACAGGGAAAGCATTCACTATTAAAGCCTTCATCTCATGTAAAGCCAAAAAAAGTGACATACATGCTAAATGTCCCTGTGAACTTGCAAACATAGGCAAGACTTCTAGGCTCCTCATATCTCAGAACAAAGAAGAAACTCAGAAACCATCATAGGAGCCTTGTAGTCTACTTAACAATATCACTCTCTCAGTTATATTGGTATCAAACGTGTCCAACTTGTTGATGGCCTATAAGCTTGATGGTTACCAACACTTTCTCATCCCAGGTTGTCAAATACCGACGCACAGTTTTTCTCCCCACCCCCCCCGCCCCCCTGTCTCATAAATTTTTTTGCAGTTTGTTAGTCTCAAACTGTTGCTACCTTGTGCCGTCTGAACTGGAGACACCAAAGGTGCATGAACAAACTTCTGCATTTGACGCATGGGAATGGTTGGTTTACTGACACACTGAATGCCTGATAGATTTTTGTAAATATATGAATTGTGTTTTCACTTGTTTTTGATGTAGGGGGTATTTATTGAGTGTTATCTTACACTATTACATTGGGTACCTTGTGAAAGGTGAAGAACACTATTATGAATGTATATATGGATATAATATTTCTGAGTGTATGTATATATGAATACAGATGCTTTTGTCTATGCTATTTTGCTACGGAGACTCTGTTCATGTGACTTATCATGAGACTGTATCACATGTATTTAAGATGGCTTCATTTATTGTCACTCTAGTCCAGTGGTTCCCAACCCGTTCATCTTATCCTCACCCTATTATTTAGTAAACTGACGATTTCACGTTATATTCAAAACTGTACAATGAACCCTAATAGTGAACTAAGTAACTGCAAGAAGTTTGTGTACAACAAACTAACAATGTTAGGCTTCTTTTTTGGCACATAAAGTGTTTTCTTGTCCGTGACACTTGGCCATCGGTCTATTTGACAATTTACTTTACTAACCAAATGCTGAGATATAGGCCTAGGCTTTTAGCAGGCCTTAAAATCAAGGTCTCGCAACCCCCCATGATGCTTTGGTGGGCCCTAGTGGGGGTCCCGACCCCCAGGTTGGGAATCACTGCTCTAGTCTGATGAAGAGCAGTGTTGCTCTTAACGTCAGCAAGCCCTACAGTGTACAAGCTGTTTTGGTTTATTTAATCAGAAATGTGCTCTGTTGCACCTGTAACCACACCCAACAGTGATGGCAGGGGGGTCTTTAACAGCAACCCAGTGTACTTTGACACATTTAATGAAAAAGGGTTTATTCAACTTTTATTGTCATAGTCAAGCTGCTGATTATTAATATTGTGTCAGTGTTCTGTTTCGGTGCCCCAAAACTGGACATGTATTGTGCAAGCCTTGGCTGATTTATGTCTGTTATTCTGTTGCAATGCTCCTTATAATTTGTCATATTAGAGCCCCATCATTTAGCTCCTGATGGAGGCCTTATGGGAATGTTTGCTGAGTGACAACTACTTCATTAACTCTTGATTTTGTGCCTGTTCAGGACTTATGCACTGTCACTTGTTATTTGTCCTCAAGGCGTACATGTCTGCTTTAAGCAACAGCCAGATAAATAAAAGCACACTGATGGTAATTTATTGGACATACTATATATTATATAAAATACAGCAACCTTGAAGTGCTTACTTACTGTACTGTTTTATTAAAAATGGAAATAAAATAATGATTTATATTTGACAATATCCAGCAAAGGCCTGAGGTTGGAATCAAACCCAGGCTGCTGTGGTAAGGACACAGCCTACATGGGGCATGCCCTACATTTGGACCATTTACACATAAATGTTGCCATCTATGTGTCATACAGAATTAGTTTAGAGCTCCTTTAGATCTGAAAAACTGACCCTCCGTTTTTTTCCCTCGACCCTCATGGACATCAAGATATCTGGCAGCTTCTCCCTCCCTTTCCCTTTTAGCAACACACTGTATTGTCTTGATGTGAGGTAACTATTGTGGTCTTCATTTCTGCAAATTTTATGTTATGTTGCAAAACAAGCCAAAAAACAGTTGGTGGCCAGTACTGCAGAGATGTGAGAGATATGTTTAGTTAGTTGTTTGTAATGTTCGGTTGTAATTCTAATGTAATAATACATATAATAGTAAACAAAACATATTTTTTTTGGCTAATTAAATGCTGTGTACACCCATTCACCTCTGTTCTGACTGCCTATGTGGTTTTGACCTCCTGCCTGTTTATTAATTTGAATAAATGTGAACTTTTGCCTTAACCTGCCTTCAAAATCATTACAGATATACCCACAGCTTGAATCCAGGTGTACACAAACACCAGAACAGGCCATGCACAAAGCATGTTTTTACAGCAGAAGAATTCAAAGGAGAACTACACTACTTCCTTTTTTAGGTTATACTTCTATGAAATATTAGACAATACAAAGCCTCCAGTAACACTATACTTCCCTACAGTAGCCATTTTTGCATGTGGTGTCTGCTCGTAGCAACTAAGGCGTGATTAAACTTCTTTATGGTTATGTTTACATATTTTACATACAGCACTTGGTAAGAGTCAGGGACAGGTTGTGGTCTTGTTGAAATATTAAACAATGTTTGGTATTACCAAAAATGTGCATTTATTTATTTTTTTTATTTTATTTTTTATTTTTTATTTTATATGGGTCTATAAAAACACTATTATTGGTCATAATGTTCTGCAGCCCCGTACGCAACAAACTGCGATGCATTGTGTGTTCTCTGTTTCTATCAGAACCAGCATTAACTTATACTAAAGCACAACTTCATCAGTTATTTGGGTAAAAACTGGATCATATTTTTATGGAGGAAAATTATCTGGTTTTCCCTCTGACATCCTCGTGCTCTGCTCAATCTGCTAAACTGCCTGCTGTGCTGCTGTCATGCCAACAAACGGGGTTAGCAGCTTTCCGTGAACACAACCTCTGAGACAGACAAAAGATAGTTTGAAGGCAGCGGGACCGAGGTGATTTACGGAGTTTGCTAAAAGTAACTAACTGTTGCCTATTGTAACGTTACATGCTGTTAGCTCATGCAGCTGACATTAGTTGACTTGGCCCCAGGGTTGTGTGAAGCATACGATGCATCGGCCCCGGTCTTGATGTGCTGTTCACTAGGAGCTCCCAGTCGAGCAGTCAGTTAATGGGGAATGTAACACACAGAGCTATTGGATGGACATGAACACTATAAACTGACATTAAATACAAAGTTTTTAAGTATTCAAACAGATATTTCTCAAATGTTCTATTGCACAAGAAACATTATAACCGGTATATCGCCCAGCACTAACTTTAAGAGTGATATTTTATGACGTGGTTCATGGTGTAAAAAGTTTAAGAAACAGTTTTTGATCAGTGTGTAACATGTCTTTTTTCATCCTTGTCACAAGCAAAGTGTTGTACTGAATATTTCAATAACGCAGGGGTGGTTTCTGTTGTTAAGTAAATGACTGGCAATCATAAGCACCACTTGAAAATGATGCATTATGGCTTTTTTGCCCAGTAAAATACTAGTTATTGTACCTTTCACTTAAAGTCAGGTGGATTTAAGGTACACTCACACTGCATTTTACAGCGCCTCTGCAGAATAGCAAGCCAAACAAGCCAAACAAGTTTGGTGCATTCCTGTTAGTACTGCTCCCTTTTGTGTATGATTATGAATTGAAATACCATAAACATTTTGCTCCTTTTTATTATTGCCATGTTTGCGACAAAAAATAAACGTTGACCGGTAAATCAAAGGCTTATTGTGTAAAAGTGTCAAAGCACTATTTACCCAGAACTATGAAAATGTCAAAAAAGGCTACTCTAATTTTTTATCTAAGTGTATAAAGGGAACAAGGAAGTCAGTGCCTTTACAATGTCAGTAAATACTAAGTTAGTATTTATATGCTTGTGTTTGAGAACTGTGGTACAAAAGAATGAGGAAGTCCCCGAGCGGTCACAAAAAAGGAAGGCACACTGTCACACAGTCAAACAGGTACAGACTCACACGGACTTCACCGTAGGATCTTAATAAAGCAGCACCTGTCGTGGTAAGATTTGTTTAGCGTCTTCTTAATGATTTGCTTCACATTACATCTGCAGTGCCATGTTAACAACCTGTGAATCATACTGCAGGGAGAGATCTAATAGGATCAGATTTTTTAAAGCATATTAAAGTTCAGGTTTTGCTCCCCTACAGTATTGATGGATCCTGCATTGTTCCTGAATCAGGCCAGCAGTTCACAGCGTCTCTCTGGGATGTTGATTCAAAACTGCTCTGAGAACAACCTGAAGTTTATTTGTGAGTTTCAGCCTGGGCCCGGTCCACCGCAAGGGTCTGGTGATGAGGATTTTAGTGTCAGTATGGATTGTGAGTCAGTGTCAGTAATCCTCCCTGCCCAGTGCAGCGTCTACCAGCTGCGGCTACGCATCTGTATGCAGGTAGGCAAACCTCTATTGCATGGTCTGCTGACCTACGATCGGTATATATTCAAGTTTGAAAAACTACTGATTTATTCCATAATTCGGTCAAGCTTTTAATTTGTACTTTTTTACCAAATATCTGCAAAACTAAAGACATTCCCATCAGCCTTTACTTTGTGTTTACTGCTAATTAGCAAATTTTAGCATGCTAGCACACTAAACTAAGATGGGGAACACTTTTTTTTACATTTCAGCATGTAAGCAATGTCTTTGTCAGCATGTTAGCATCCTAACAGTAGCATCTTAAAGCATCTACAGTTTGTGATACTAGCGTGGCTCTAGACTTTTAGTCTTGTTTAAATATATAATCAAGCTGCAACCATCAACATTTTTCCATCATCTCTTTCTATGCCTTAAGGCCCAGGAACAAAGTTGCCATCCAGACCCACTTGCAATACTGGACCCAGAGAAATTTACTCTGCTATATGCCAGGGGGGGAGACTGGTACGAGGCCTACGATGACTGTCAGGTTATCAGGACGTTAGACATTCCATGGTCACGTGATGACACCGGGCGTCTGTCAGCACACATAGTGGTAAAACCACTGGTGGCAGTTGATTTAGAGGAGGAGAAGAAACAACAGGAGTGTCTGGCATACCTGATTGGACACAACCTGGAGAAAGAAGCGTCTGACAGACTTGGTGAGCTCACATTCACCCGCAGGAAACTGGCATCTCCGAGAAGACAAGAGCTAAGGAATCGGGATGACAAGCTATATGCCACAGAGCCTTGGGTAACATGTGCCCCTATTCCAAATGACCTACAGGACCAGATAAACAGAAAGCTCCCAGTCACCCTCCACTACATGAACAAGATCAGCTTCAGCATACAGGTTGATTTTAGCGCAATGCCAGCTGTTCTTCTTAGGGTTTTTAGGAGGGTGATGGCAGACCAGGGCCTTGATTACGACACTTCTGATGATCTGGTTTTGAAAGTTTCTGGCAGGGAGGAGTTTTTATCTGGAGACCATCCCCTTAGTGGTTTTCTCTGGGTTCGCCAGTGCTTGAAAACCAATCAAGACCTCCACCTGTCTGTGGTCCCCGTGTCACAGCTTGCCGATGAGACTGTCAAGTTTGTGGACTGGCCGCTTGTTGATAGTTTCAGTGGCCAGTTCAGCTCCCACGATGATCTCCGCCTCGAAGGGAAAGATTTGGATGACATTTTCATGATATCCTTGTGGGACTGCAACAGAAGACTCCGAGTCAAATTGCTTGGCTTTGACATCCCGAAACTTCCAAACAAATGCCCTCAGTCTGTTTATGTAAAAGCCTCTATCCTTTATGGTAACAAGGTTCTCTCTTCAGTGTCCTCCTTCCCCAAGGCTTTCGCAGATGAAGTACTGTGGAATGAGTGGCTGGACTTTGACGTTCTCCTCAGGGATCTGCCACGTGGTGCAAAGCTGGGTTTTACTATTAATGCTAGTGGTGATATTTCCCCAGTAACCAAAGACCCAAAGCCACCATCCTCTTCAGTCAATAAAACACCAGAGCAGCACAAAGGGAAGGAGAAGGTGCTCTACTTTGTCAATCTTCTCCTTATAGATCACAGGTCAGGTTTTTAATATCAATTACAACTTTTTGATGTATTTATCAGTGTATTTTGCATAAATATTTCCACGTTGCTGATTAAAGAGCAACTAGTGGGTTGAATTTCCTACTGAATCTTTTATACTTGAAGGTCCAGTGTGTAACATTTAGGACAATCTATGGAATATAATATGCATACCTATGTTTTAATTAGTGTATAATCACCTGAATATAGAAATGGTTATGTTTATGTTATCTTAGGATGAGCCTTTTATATCTACTACAGATGCAGCGAGTCACTTTCCATGGTGAACTGCCATGTTTCTACAGTAGCCAAGAAGGGACAAGCCAAACACCAGCACTAGATACAGGCATTTTTTGCACATTTTGCAGTCACTGTAGTTTCTCCTTAATGCTTTGAAGAGGAGAGTGAAGCAAGGGAGTTGCAATCTGCAACTGTACCGCTAGATGCCACTGAAGTCTACACACTGGTCCCCTAAGATTTAATGCAAATGATGCTTTAAGAAGTATACTAAGTAATAATATACAGTATGACTTTATATGTTTAAGAAGACATAGGGGTAGAAAGCAAAAGTAGGCGTTTTGAGCAGTGCCCTGAAAAAAAAAGGCACATAATGGTGTCAGTTTCCTTGCACTGTGCAGGGTAGGTGGTTATGAGTCTGAGCAGATACATACAGCCTTTTTTCACTAATGTTAGTAAATGATTGTGCTTGTTCAGGCTGCCTGTCTGGACATCAAACCCACAGTTTTCAGCAACGCAGAAAAGCATCTGCCCTGTTCTGCACTTCACTTTCCCCTTCATTTCTCACAGCTGGATGTTATTTCTCTTTTGCTTGCTTGTTTCTGGTCCCTGGGCACTTAGCATGATCATAATTACAAGGCTCCAGTTTCTCTGTTTTGAGGTAGACACAAAAAATAAAAAATCCAGGTATTACTGTTGTGTGTGTATATATACTGTACATATGTATGTACAAGTATTTTTCTCCCAAACAGTCATGGTTAGTATTGTTACAATCACTGTAGTGTCACCAGTGTCACCTTAGCATGCTTACAATTGTTCTGAAAAATATCCTAACTCTTTAACACTATTAGTCTATCACTAATTTATTACCAATCAAATTGCCGTCACTTGTTCATCCCTGCAGGTCAGTCCTCAGCCAGGGTCCCTACACCCTACAAATGTGGTCTTACCCTGACCTGGAGGAAGAGGCCATCACGTACCAGGCAGACAAGCTGTCCTCTGCTACGAACCCAAAGATAGCTGACTCCATGGCTATCAGCTTTCTTCTTGACCGCTACAGCTTCCCTGTGGTTCTCCCAAATAGCTTTAGCCCCTCTGAATGCTCTGACAGTCCCACCTCCAGCCTCACCCGGACCAAATCTACTGCTTCCTCTTATACACTCTCCTCCTCACCCTCTTCACCCCCTTCCACCTTACCCAGCACAGATTCTTGCTGTCTGGATGTAAAACCATCCCAGGGCCCATCATCTGACAGTGTAATTCTCAGATCTCCGTCTTCAGTCATCAGCACCAACAAGGCTGGCCTCAAAAGGTTCCGGGAAGAGAGCATCCGCTATGCCTCAAATCTACCCCATTACCTGCGCAATGTTGATTGGATGAACCGCAGAGTGGTTGGGGATGTCCACTGGCTACTGGGAAACTGGGATCCTGGGGAGCTGGATGTAACAGTGGCCCTGGAGCTGTTGAGCATGGACTTTGCTGACATGACAGTCAGGAGACTAGCAGTCCAGAGATTGGAAAGCCTGTCTAATGATGATGTATTGAAGTATTTGCTGCAGCTGGTTCAGGTATGTGTTTGTATCTAAATAAACACAGCCAAAGTTTTTCTGAAGTTTGATTTGAAAAAAATCAAGACACATACAAAGTTTATGTATAGATAGCCTTAGATAGCCAGACCAGTCTTCACGCTTCATTTTAGCACTGTGCCATGGCCGGAGAAAGGTCTGGCTGAACTCAGCGTTATTCTGGTGTAGGGGAGAAAAATGCTCTGGTATTGTATTTCTTTTAACCAAACCGCGGACAGCCCTAAGCCCAGGATGCAGTAACAGTGAACTTAATCTATATCTGCACCTAAAATATGTGAACTAAACAAATAAACAATAAAAAATATGTAAACTAATAAATTGTGATTAAATAATTAATTAATCCAGCTCAAAAAAGTTTATCTATTGCTCGATTACCCAAGGGGAAAATCTATGGGGGTATTTTCCTATCTTTATATGAGAGCGTGCAGCCGTGGCAGATCTGCAAATGCGTGTGGATATTTGTGTGTGCGAGGAGAGAAACCTATTTTAGATGAAACCAGCAAAATAGCGATATGGGGCACTAAATTTGATGAATTAACTGTTTATAAGACCAGAAATTAGTGTCACTGATTACTGTACAGAAACACAACTTTATTGACTGACTTTGGTGAAAGTGTATCATATTTTTATGGAGAAAAGATTATCTGGTTTTCCCTCTGATGTCCTGCTGATGTCAGATGTTCTTTGTCTCATATCTCAGTAATTTATTTACTGGAGGACATATAACATTTGCTTTATTGTTGCTAAAGTATAGCTAGTTAACTGTTGCTGGATACTGTAGCTACCTAAGCACAATGTGAACACAGCAATCCCGGGACCAAACAGCCTCCAAGTCTGATGGAGGCCAGTATGACGACAGGGAAGCCAAGGTGGTTTTCTTGCCAGCTTTGTCTCCTGGCACGCCAGAGCCAGCTGAGCTATTAATACTGTACCTCCAGTAGGATGTGAATACATATTGTGATTATAAAGATGCACTTTAACAAATGTCTGTGGAGATGTATTGTGAGGTTAAGGCTGTACTGCTGACATACGTCACAGTTCTTTCCATCTTGTTCATTTATACAGACTCTGAAAGTGGAACCCTACCATGACAGTTTCCTCGCCCGGTACCTTATCCAAAGAGCTCTGCAGGTGAGTTCATGCAGCATCCTGTTATTCAGTGTACATGACACATCGTACTATACCAGGATTATATATAACTACATTGTGTTTTCCTGCCCTGTGCTCAAAATTCAGGAACCTATTTTCAAACTAGCAAAAGTGGCTAAGTCCTGGTAAAATGTGCAGCTACACCTGTGTCTGTATTCTGCTCACTGACTCTCGCACCCCACCTCGACTGTCTGCTCCTTCACTGCAGAGCAAGAGAATCGGCCACTTCTTCTTCTGGTATGTTCGCAGTGAGGTGGCAGGCTGTCCCTACTTCCGCCAGCGCATGGCTGTGATTCTGGAGGCCTACCTGCTGGGCTGTGGTCAGGCCATGCTTGACAGCTTCACCCAGCAGGTCCAGGCTGTGGAGGCTTTACAGGAGGTTGCTGTGATGATTAAAAACTTCTACCCTGACAACCTTTCCCCTACAGGTGGGACACATGTAGGAAAGATATTCTCATGGATTAGTACACTTAAGTTATACTTCTGATACAACTATGATTACTATGGTAGAATAAAGTCAAAATGAGTATTGTCATCAGTTTTTTTAGTATTGTTTATCTGTTGGACTGTTTTTGTATTGTTTTTTCAATATCAACAGGACGTAGGTGGTTAAATAAAAAAAAAGGTGTGATGACATTTTAAAACCTGTCAAAATCGAAGCATCAGAGGGTGAGAGCTCCTGACTTTGAGTCCCTAGTATGCGTCAATCTAAAAAAAAAGGCTGGAGCCTGCACCTACCATACTTTTTCATTACACTCTCCTTGCCTGCTAAATCCCCCTTGTCTGGTCCTTCAAACTCCACCTCTCCAGTCTGTGCAGACTCTTTGTGTATTGTAGCATTCAAACCAAAGCCAAGATAACAGTGATGATATAGTAACATCATAATGGTTACAATTGTTATAACTAGATTGGATTGAATAAAACAAATCACATTAGAAAAAAAAATACGACACACTATATAGAATAATGACAGCAACCACAATGTCCCCAAATCCTTTTTTAAAGATCCCCTTCAGACATGTAATAAGACAGAAAATTTATCTGGTTGTGTTTCTGTATGTATATTAAGTGGTGATGCACACCTGGTGCAGCCAGTGTTATTAATATAAGAATGAGTTTTTGACAAACACATGGCTTTTGCACTAAGCCGTGGAGTTCTTGAGAGGTGATTCTTTTTCCTTTTTATGTTCCATTTTTTGTACTACTGCTAATTGTGTCTTTGTGTTTCTGTGGTGCTGTTGTTTCAGCTCCCCTCAAGCTCCAAGAGCTTCTTAGAAGCTGTAATCTGCCAATTGAGTTCCTGCTGCCCTTTGACCCCCGCATTAAAGCTGGAATGATCCTGGTAAGCCTTGCTAATGTTTCGCTGTGTGTATGAATTGGGAGCGTAGGTGTTAAAGGTCTAGTTCTTAACATTTCTGAGGATCTATTGAGTTTGTTCTGCGGCGAAAACACAATTCTGTTTTTAAAAATGTATTTTGTTCGTGACGAAATGATAAAGGTGCAAGGTCACCCTTCATTCTCATTTTCAGCAGGCCAGTCTGGCTACAGCAGTTAGAATGTGAAATTATCTCTTGGTTTAAAGGTGCAGTGTGTAACATTCAGGTGGCTCTATTGTCAGAAATGGAATATAATATTCATAGCTATGTGTTCATTAGTGTATAACCTGAATATAGGAATCGTTATGTTCTTGTTACCTTAGAATGAGCTGCTTTTATCTTCAGAGGCTGCAGTTCGCCTCCCATGGAGTCCGCCATGTTGAACAGGCTTTACTTTGTAGGTACATGTGGTTACTACATTATATCAAACAATTCAATACAATATAATTTATATAACATTTGAGAAGAAAGCCACTTCTAAACAAATTTTGTCAAATAAAAAGAATCAAACTTACAGTACTGATACTGCACTTTTAAGGCCATAATCTAAAACCCACATTCACTAAACATTATTTAAATTCAAAACAAAACACAGTCCTATCAATTTTTTGAATGATGATAAAATAGCCAATCACATACTGTACAATCCTGGTAGATAACTTTGTAAGAAGAACAGCATGTTTTTACTGTTTACCTTATATATATAATATAATATAATATATAATAAAATAATCACCACCATGTCTGTTTTGTCAGCATGCTGACATTCTCACAATGACAATACAATTTAGTCCAAAGTATAGATAAGCAGAATCAAGCAAATTAAGAAAACAAAAAACAAACAAACAGTTCTCAGCTGTTAAAGCCCCTGAAAGCTAAATAGTGCACGTGAGTCCCTCTGTATATAACTGAGTACAGCACCTGAAACTGTTGTTTTTCTCATCTGTGTTGGTGAAATAAGGATTCATTTTGACCGAACCAGAGTTGGTAATTGTTGATCAGCGAAGAGACTAACAAAGACTGTTTTGGAGAGTTTTATGTGTTTTAATGATATGCAAGGTAAAATCACTGTTTTTGTCTATGGAGTCTGGTCACAAGTGATAGTGATATTACAGCTGTTTCTGGTTAAACAAAAGGTCTGTCTTTGTAGAGATTGCTTTTCATAATGTTGTCAGACACTTAGAATAACAATCTGAGCCTGTCAGTGGAAAAAACACGCACTTTAAGTGGACCTACTTTTATGAGCGCATTTTCCCAAGGATTATCCAACATGATTATATTTTCTCATCTAACTCTCTGAATTAAGGGTTTATTTCGAACAAACAAAGACGGTATGTGTGGGTTTTATTTTGTTTCTGTTCAGTTTGAACTGTGTTGCACAATTATATGCTAGGTAAAATTAGTGGTTTTGTCAATAGAGTCTGATCACTGTAGTGCCCATTGTTTTGGTCTGAGATGCTGGTGTTCTAATGTGACACTTAGTGGCAGTGAATGTTTTTTATATAGCCTTTTAATGTTGCTAAACTCTGAAATATGAGACATTGCTGTTTGTTTAAAATTAATTTACCAAAGCAAATCAGTACTCCTTGTATCTCTCTTGTCCAGCTGGACAAATGCAAGGTGATGGCCTCTAAGAAGAAGCCACTATGGCTGGAGTTCTCTCCCATGCCGTCGCCCACCTCTGATACACCTGTGGGAATAATCTTCAAACAGGGTGATGACCTCAGGCAGGACATGTTGGTCCTTCAGGTAAATCAGATTTTTATTCCCTCAATTACCTACTATCTTACTGATAAAAGAATGTTGGTGAATACATTTCACACGTGACTCTTCCTGAATTATCATCCTGTTTAGACACTGGTGGTGATGGACTCTATCTGGCAGGAGAAATCTCTGGACCTGAACCTTGTTCCATATGGCTGCATCTCCACAGGACACAACATAGGTATTCAAATCAGTGCGGTTCAAAGGGCTGTATCCAGGAGTTATATAGTTAGATATACTCAGGTCATAAGTCGAAGGCCCCCTCCTCTGAAACTCTGTAAAATGTTTTTATTATTTGGAACATTTATTCATTTAGCTGTTTAACTATATTGACTGAACGTTTATTTACAAGCCACTGCTTAGAAAGTCAACAGAACTCCTGACTTGGATTCACTGTTTTTAATACCATATTATATTTTCAGGCAACCTCCTTGGACATTTCTAGCAAATTCGACCCCTTAATAGAGCAAGAAGGTCTACAGTAAATGTAGTTCCACAGCTGTTTAGAAATAATTAATTCATCATTTATTTATTATGTTGGCCTAAAAGTCAAATCAAAAGCAGCTACAAGGAACTTTCATTGTTGTCTTCTGCCACATTTCGTGTGACTTTGAGAAGAATCCGAGCCAAACCAACCTGGTGGCAGGCATCACTGCGCTGAGAATAACTATATAGACATAGCCAATCGTCTTGCTGATGGTCCTGTTTGTTTAAGTGGGTCATATAGAGGCATCAGTAATAAATGAAATGTTCCAACAATGAAAATGTGTTCCAGCACCCAGGATACGACTAAGATGTCCTATGTAGTGTGATAAAAAATCCAAAAGAAGTCATAGTGAATTTCATCAAGTTTCTACTCAACAGGTATGATTGAGATTGTGAGGAATGCAGCGACCATCGCTGTAGTCCAGAGGAACCATGGAGGAACGAATGGAGCCTTCAGAAACGATGCTCTGTTTGAGTGGCTCAAGTCCAAATGTCCGCTCCAGGAGATTGTAAGTGATATGAAAAAAACAGACAGTACAAGATTTGGATACAAATTAAGTTGTAATATTTGATTATAAATGAAAAAGCAAGCTTCATGCAGGCCTTCTCATTAAGAGGTGCTGGGTGCTCTGTGCAGTTGCCCACAGAGCAGAGGAGGTGGGGATGCCTTGAAAAACTGTTGAAACATTTCTGTTTGAATGTGCTCATACAGTGAAAACATTTTTTATATTTAATCCATGACAGCTTGTCTGAAAAATGAGTGCAGATCATTTATTCCTTTATTTCAAATTCATTAAAATCGTAATGCATGTCCATGCTTTCGCTGTGCTCTCATTTGACTACAGCACTACAAGACTGTGGAGAGATTTGTGAAATCCTGCGCTGGTTACTGTGTGGCCACCTACGTCTTGGGTATAGGAGATCGACACAATGACAACATCATGATCACAGACCAAGGTATGCACCACAAATCCTTATTCTCATTGCACTGGCTATGAATTGAACCTCTTTGCAATTGTGCAAATTTAAACAATCCAGTCAGTCAGTTATTAAGTAACATGACAGATAATGTAAATGTCAGACAAAATGAAGGAATGAACAGAAGATTGAATTATAAAAAGACTTTATCAACACAACTTTTGTATTTCCTGGACCTCTTAGGAAACCTGTTTCACATCGACTTTGGTCACATCCTGGGCAACACGAAGCACTTCCTCGGCGTGAACAGGGAGCGTGTACCTTTCGTCCTCACACCTGACTTCCTGTATGTCATGGGCAGGGTCAAAGGGCGCAACAGCCTCTACTTTCAGCGGTTCAGGGTAAGAAGATGATGTGTGTGTAGGTGTGGTTGTGTGATATGTTAAAGGAAAAGGCTGGAGTTACATTATATATTTCTTACTGTCAACAAATCCTGTGTAAAGACTACAAAAGACAATGCATTAAAGGTCCAGTGTGTAAAATTTAGGAGGATCTATCAGCAGACATGGAATATAAGCAAGAAAGTTGCGATCTACAACTACATAGCTAGATGCTACAAAATCTGACACATTTCTCCTTTAATATATTTATGTGTCAATACAACTTTCCTGCCCTGACTGTGGATCCCAGCCTCAAGCCAATTGGTTCCTATTGAAGACATGCATTTAAAACTTTAAAAATAAAACAAAAAGTATAAGTTTAACTGATACATTTGTAATGGTTTTTGGATTAAAATGGACCTGTATGACACAGAGGAATAAGGTATATCAGGGTTTGGATACACAGACAACACTTGTTAGTGGGATAAATTCCAATGTTGTGTTTTTTCATGAGATCTGTTGACAATGTAAAATATAAAAATATAAAATATCACTAGTATTGTCCTTTAAGCAGCGTATAGGCAAACTTTTGAAATAAGGGGGAAAAAGAATTATAAGTTGTGCCTCCCTTAAAGAGTAACGTAACACCCCCTGGAAATCTTGTCTTTGCTGACTTCCACACTGGACAAAAAGTACCTGTATCCAGAAAGATCCAATGGTATCCAGGTTTATGGAAATGTATCCAGATCCTGCATATCATATCATATCATATCATATCATATCATATCATATAAAATCTTTAAAAGATCCTGTCTGTAATTGTTTGGATATGGACACTACCTTTCCATATCCAAACAGATCACCACTTTAGATACTACCATATTTGTGGTGCATTAATTCCAGTGCCAGTAGTTTGATTTCTTACCTGTCTGCAGTGAAGTACAGGTGTACTCCAGGACTCGGTGACATCACTGGTGGGTGCGGCCAGAGGGCAGCAAAACACTGCTTTTCAGCCTGGTGTTAAGTTACTCTTTAACTGTTTTAAAATGTCAGCGAAAACGTAATGTTTGGTGTCAGTTAATGAAGGGAATGTTTTGCTATTTTGAAGATTATTATAACATTATTATTATTAGATTCTTCAGTTTTTATTCAAGAAATGAGCACATCAAATGATGATGATGAAATTGAAAAAACTTTTTAGGGTCACATGACTTAAATGTGATAGATAATTGTGCAAATAAGTGAATAGACTGTATCCTATTATCTTTTGTCCTTATGTTTTTGTCCTTCTTTCCATCTCTGGCCCACATCAGGACACATGCACCCAAGCATACCTCTCCCTGCGCTCGCACTCTCGTCTGCTGGTCACTCTTTTCTCCCTCATGCTGCTGACAGGCATCCCGGAGTTGAGTGCTGCAGAGGACATGCGCTACCTGCGGGAGGCGCTCCAGGAGGAACAGGGTGAGGCAGAGGCCAAGGAGCATTTCCTCCAGCAAATCTCTATGTGTGAGCATCTGGGCTGGACTGTGCAGGCCAACTGGTGGATCCACATGGTGGCAGGCATCAAGTAGATTGTTGGTGATTTGAAGGTCAAGGTGTGGAAATGTTTATTATGTAACACTGATTTTTATTCATTGTTTATCATTTTTTTATGCATCCCTTTTTATGCATCTATTTACTCAGTAGACACTTTCACTTTACATATTACTTTTGGATTACCCCAACACCAAATATGTATATAAAGAGAAAAGAGAAAAGAAATTAAAAAGAATTTTGCAATAAAAAATGTGTCCTCTGCTCAGTGTATTTTTTAGAGAGAAATGTATGTTATTCAAAATTGTAATCCTGATAAATAATCCCTATTTATACTGAATGTAAAGGTAATTTGATTCCTTCTTTTTTTCTGTAACTGCAATTGATTAGTGTTCTATCTGGAGCTGCTGTAGCAAGTGAATTTCCCCAGTGTGGGATCAATAAAGTCTATCTTATCTTTAAGTCAGTATTCAGAAATGTCATTGCCTCACCCGTTGTGGTAAAAACCTTGAGCTGGCCCTCCCTCAAAGGATGGGAAAAGGAGACTGTGCCCAGTATTGAGCTGCCGCCATGTGTTTAAGGCTTCACTGAATTCACTTTGTTGCTGCTTTACCTCTGGCGTGTAGTCGGGGGAAATAAGCATTGTGTTGCCTTTATATACTGGCTCTCAAGCTCTCTGGAGCTGCAGTATGAGCTTGAGCCATAAAAGTAGACCCGGGCGATGAAGGCACAGGGCTTGGCTCCCTCCGGTGGTGGTGGTTACAGGCTGTAAAACCAAAAACAGTGAGCTGAAAGACACTAAAAATGGTTTAGTTTTCCATAGTACTTTGGCCCCCCGCTCCCTTTTGGGATTTATGTTGTGTCATTGCTGATCCACAATCCGCGTCGTTCTATAGAAAAAATAAAGAAACAGGGATGATCAGGGTCCTTTCAGTCTGCCTCCTATAAAGTGGATGGACCTGACATATAAAACTACCTTGTTGGGTCTCGTATTTCTGACATCTATTTATTTCATTAAGACACTTTATTTTTCTGTTTTGGCAGTCTGTCCAATATGACGTTACTTTAAACTAACTATATCGCTGCTATAGTCAATGTGGTTGGAGCTGCAGTGGCCCGAGGCTAACCAGTCATGACACTGCATGGCGTCACTGGTCCCTGAAATGGTGTGGTCTTTCTTTGCTCACATGGTCTTGTTGTAATCCCTCCAACAATTGAACTCTAGAGGAGGGGGATGAGATGGAGAGAAGGCAGGAAAGAAAAGAGCCTGTGTGCATTACACTTGCAGGTCAATAAGTGGACAGAAGGAATGTTGTCTCAAAGTGTGAAGCACATGTCAATGGCAATCCTGAGAAAAAACATTTAAATGTAAAAATATTTATTTAATTACTTTTTTTATTTTTTAAAAAGGGTAAAGATTTTATTAGACTAGCTCTGATGAACACCATCACTGTTGTCACTCCCCCAGAAGCTATTCCCGCTCCAGAGCCGCTGTGAACATATTGCTCCCTCACAGGGGTACTGACTGTTATATGAGACTATGGAACCAGTGATGTACGAAAAGTGCAAGATCAAACACATCTCGCTACTGCAAGGATAAACAATGTAGTCAGTCAACAGAATAAATCTCCTTGTTTTACTGTTTAGCTGGCTCACCATGCATTGAATCTCAATGAATCACAGTGTATATAATTGATTATTCATTTATAATATAATTCATGATTCATCTTTTATTTTCTCTAAATACAGTCAAAATGTTCAGTTAAAAGTACAGTGTGTCACATCTATTGGCAGAAATTGAATATATATAATATTCATAGGTATGTTTTCATTAGTGTATTATGTATGTATTATATATCACCTGAAAATGATCATGTTTTTGTTACCTCAGAATGAGCCTTTTATATCTACATACACCATGGGTCACCTTCCATGGATTCCATTACATAACCATACTGTCAGTGTGATTTAAAAAAATATTAAAATAGATAGAAAGATTACATTAAATATGAAGAAATGTCTATTGAACCAGTTTGCATTCAAAAGTATATTGTTTTTGTCTTTGTTTGTTTTCCTCTGCAACAGTCTTTGGTACATATAAATGATGATTAGTTTCCTTACTTAAATAATGACGGACACATATATACACTTTACTAGTGTGTAAATCTCAAAGATGGAAGGTAATTTTGCAGTAAAATATTATATACAACATATTAAAGTTATATATAAAAAAAACATGGTTGTGGTTTGTTCTACCTCAGGTAGGGGTATCTCAACTTTGAAGGGGCCTTAGTTTCTCTACTGTTAGGTTCCACCTGAACCCAGCCACAGTTAGGCACATGATTTGGGAATGTCAAAATAATTGAGCCCAGCAGCTGCTACTTTTGGAGTTCTCAGTGAGAATGTAGACATCAGGTCATGGTACACCCAAAGCTTATTTAATAATAACTTGCATCACTTTTAGCCCAGAGCCCTGGGATTTGTTTGAGTAGGAGCTGGAGATTAACATACACCATCAGCCATAACATTGTGAGCACTGGCTAACATTGAAATACGTTCAGTGAAGATTTTACTGATATGTTTAATATCAACATTTTTGCAACTTTCCAGTAACATTTCCTTATTATGTTAATATAAAATGTGAAGTGAATAACACTGATTATCTGGTTATCATGGCACCTGCCAGTGGGTGGGATATATCAGGCAACAAGTGAACATTTTGTCCTCAAAGTTGATGTCTTAGAAGCAGGAAAAATGGGCAGCATGAGGATCTGAGTGACTTTGACAAGGGCCACATTGTAACGGCTGGACAGCTGGGTCAGAGCATCTCCAAACCTGCAGCTCTTGTGGGGTGTTGGCATAAACATTAGCTCACACAACATATTTCAGCCAATTGGCAGCTTGTAAAACAGTAATGAAATGAAACAACTAAGACCAGTTAACATTCCACAAGAGAATAAAACTTTGGTGCATATCTAATGCTTCTCTCACCTTTCATACTAATGTTGGGTAACTTGCACATAGTGTCGGTAAAACAGACTGAATCGTGCAAACTACACGAAGGTACGTGTAGAATGAAAAGAAGAGGGTAACCGTGGTTCTCAACTGTTCATTTTCGCTTTCTGAGTGTGTGTTGCAATCAGGTAAAACACTACCTCCTCCAGATGTTTCACAGTCCACAGAGCATAGCTCTGAACAAATTACAGCTTCCATTTCTGTCACAGGGGTGAGTTGTCAGACAACGGAGAGTGGACCTAAGTGCAGGACCCATGGGCAGAAAGAAAAGAGAGAATTGCAGGACTTTACTGTGTCAGAAGTGAAGGTACATACACTTACTGACAAGTCAAAACAGAAGAAGTACAGGATAGCAGGAATAGGATACGGAAAAGGTGCAGGTAGGCACGTAGAGATCCAGGTATAGGTTACAGGATTCAGGATTCAGGTTTTAGAGGCTCAGAAGCAAAGGTGCAAAGCAAAAAAGACCATCTGGCACTGACTGGGGAAAAGGAGCAAGTGTCAGTGAAGATTTTACTGATACGTTCAGTATCAACATTTTTGCAACTTTCAAGTAACATTTCCTTACTATGTTAATATAAAATGTAACTGACAGGTGAAGTGAATAACACTGATTATCTGGTTTATCAATGGCTACTGTCAGTGGGTGGGATATATCAGCGCCAGCAAGTGAACATTTTGTCCTCAAAGTTGATGTGTTAGAAGCAGGAAAAATGGGCAGCATGAGGATCTGAGTGTCTTTGACAAGGGCCACATTGTAGCAGCTGGACGACTGGGTCAGAGCATCTCCAAACCTGCAGCTCTTGTTCCCGCTCTGCAGTGGTCAGTATCTATCAAAATTGCATCATCATCAGGACTTTATTTACTATAAAACTTTGTCCCCATATGAGGACACAGGGTTACATTACTGCCGGCATCTCTCTTTTCATCTCATGTCCATCTTCAGACAACATGTGAAACATGTTTCATTAGCAGCTTCCTACATTGGTCACATGCACACAGATCACAGCACTTTAACACACCCACACACACACACACACACACATCAACCCTTTGCAAAGGAGACTGTCTTTGTATTAGGTGGCTGCTGGTTGGGGATATATGATATGTATTAGTTGACTTGTCTGGCACCACATAATGACCTTGGCGATGGAGAATGTCATCATCTGTTGGTAATTCCCATGGTACAAATCCTGGCAGTCTGATTGATATGATTTGAAATATTTGTGTAACATAGGACTTTGAAGAACACACAGCGAC